ATATTCCCTTGAGACGTAGTGTTACACGTGAAGGATGAACCTGTCGGCTAAGAAATCAAGCATCATTTCATAGCCTTTCCATTCCCTAGGAATCTATTGCACTGACTAATGAACATGTCCATATACAGCTTTCCATCTGCGATCTCGGAACTGGGTACTCATCCACCTGCAATGTCTCCGAACAGATCCAATACCAAGTAGTTACCTGTGGTTTATATATCCAACAAAATCCATGCTGGAGTTGAGCGTTCTATGATAGTCACTGGTCTCGTCCGCAAGTACTGCAGTATAATATACGGTAATATGTGAGAGAGATAGAATTGCTGTGGAACACCTGCAACGGTCATTTACTAAATATCTGGTTGGTAAGCACGTTTCTATGAGTTGTTGTGAACGTTGCAACGAACGTCAACTCGGATGACTTTGGATTCGAGGAGTAAGACACAACGTATTGCTGCTTTTCAACCTGCTACCCAAAAACGCCTATTCCGATCCGCCTACACTCGAACTGCGGCATAGCTCAACTCGGGAGTTTCGCAATAAAGAACAGACATTCCATCAATTTTCTTCCAGATCTGTGGAATATCTGTATAATTAACTGCTAATCACACTCAGGTCATGTGACAGTTTGGCAGTTTCTAGTAACACGCTGTCAAGTTACCTTGGTTTGAGTACCATAATGACTATATTCACACAGGGAAAGTTCCTCGATGAGATATTTCCGGAGCGGTCCAATAACATCTAAACACCCACGTTTCCAAAGCGTGGTTTTCGCTTCCCCCATATGCTAAAACGCTGTTACATGAATCGCATGCTCTAATATTTCACATACGCCTATCGCCCATTCAAGAGTATGATTTATTTTCTACATATTGATATGTACACATACAAACACACTTTCTCATATCATGTGAAATATACATATTATTATTAATATTATCATTATCATGATACTTTGCACGTAAAGATCGTACCACATCGTATTATCGGAAATACAGACCGGGCGAAAAGACATTGGAGGATTAAAGCACTTGCTGTCAAATTATGTGACACCGATACTTTTCACCTCGCTTAACTGATTGCCAGACTTGACCATCAACCGGAGTTAACGCCCTTGTCTTGAGTTCTACCCTTAGTTAACTCTGCCCTCCGAGTTTGTGACTGCGTCACTTCCAATCCCTCTGGGACTGATTGATTAGTTCATCTGGCCAAACTCTCCGACTCATCGATGAATCACTCCAATCGATGGATTCCCAATCGCCAAACATAATGTAAATGAGCGATGTTTGTCTTCCTGAACAGCTCTTTTCTTGGTAGTAGGCGTAGTCAGTCATAAGCATGGGACGTTAAGGTGCACCTAACGCTTAACTTTGCGAGCAACTTTGAAGTAACCATTTTATTGACAATCTATCATTCTGCTGCATATCACAACATCATGCTTCCTCACTCGCTTGGCTTGATTTACTGTTTGCGGTGTTTCCGCCAGTCACACGGCATACACGGTGCCGTAATGTGTCTGACCAACACTCTGAACACATGGGCAATAACAGTACGGCGATTCTTGTCACTGCTATTCGGTGGCTGATTCGATGGTAGACATTTAAAGAATGCAAGGGCTCAGAAGACTCACCTTTTATTTCTGCTGTATGACTAAGGGCTATTCTGATCATGCAGCGCGTGTTTGACCTCAATATACTTCCTGCTGGCACTACGTGAAAGACAGTAGTCGAAGGTTATGAGCTTTTGAATATATCTCAGTGTTTTCCATCCCCAAAACAAGTGATACTTCTCGTTTAGGTTCACGCAGTTGAAAGAAATCTCCAACAACTTGATCATTAAGATCGTTCGGTTTTTTGGCACTTTTTCATTGTTATCACCGCCGATATTGCTGCATCAATGCAGCGCATTTATGGTTGCTCAAACAGCGAACATTGACTCATCACAAGTTGTCCACCAGCTGGGAGCAGCACTGTAATCGAACAACAGGACTTTACATAACGACACAGTATCAGCTTTCAGACAGATCCTTTTCAGCTTACGATATCCCCTTTAAAACCACATATGTCACACAATCAGCCCATAAATCAGACATGCTGGCCAGATGAACGGTCCTCACAGAAGGCAAGTGCAGTAAACAGATGTGTCTACCTCTGATTCCTAACAGGCGCTATCCGACGAACGACGCTGTAGTCTGCGCCATTTCCCCTGCTCTCATTTGGTCTGTGCTTGACGTTCTCAGGCTATTGGGATCAAGTACCAGTCGCTTGTACCTTTTGTCGCAGCTTCTCATAACCTTTCTGTCCTTTTTGATCCCTATTTTCCTCCTGGGATCGCAAAACATCTGTGCAGTCCAAAACGTGTTTCGGAGCCCACGCTTAAGACACGACTTTTGTGAGTAACGGTGCTGCGCTATACTAACCGCTAGTTGTCGCATCACTCATGCATCCTTTTCGCCTTTCCCCGAATCCCCATCGCATGGTGTCCGTTATGGCGATGTGATGAAGCACTTTTCCCTCACTTGTCTTTTTGTGATTATTTACTGGTTGATGCAGTCGATTGTCACTAGTTTTTTCACTGTTGCTAGTTACCGAAGGGTCACGTAGCTGCTAGGACATTGATGTGTTTACTTCGAAAGAATTATTTCGTTACTTGTCCAAGTGCTAAGAAACGAGATTGTTCCGTTTCACCTAGCTTGATCATTTTTCCCATTCCATTACTCGATACAAAGGACCACGGAACTGCTTGTGTGCGTTATATCTTCTGATCAGTGTGGTATAAGTAAGTAAATATGCCAGTAGAATGCCAACCATTCACGTGAACCGACATGCCACTCTGAAGTATATCCCTGTATGAGCGCAGTTATTCTCACAGCCTAGTGTTCTCTCGGTAACCACTGTCAAGAGATACATTGTCCCACACAGACTACCCGTTGCGTCTGTCGCGTTAAATGCTCACATACGTCAAACATTCATCATCCCTGACTTGGATCGACTTTGCTTAAATGCATATCGACAATAGGGATCTTCCTTGACGCACTGTGCTAAACCAACCCACACTTAAACTAAGTCTCTTTTTAAGCTGGATAAATTTCATTCCACTTCATTTGATTTGTTCTGCCTACCGGAATAATCTTCAATTAGATTTCCACGTTGCTTACGGTGATTGCGCTTTTCTTCGTAACTTTATTGCGTTTGTAGCATTTTTTGAGTCACTTCTGGACCTTTTTTACTTATCGCGGATTCGTCGCTAATCAACATACTTCATATGCTAATTTAGGGGAGAGTTATGTCTGCATAGCTGTATTCTTAAACAGATATATTTTATTTGTTACTGTCATTTCAAGCGATTGGCTGTTGTTTGATATCCCCGGTGTGGCTGCGCTTGATGTGCATATTGACAAGGTGCCTACCTGTCCATTACCCACTACCTCGTCCATATTGGCTCCAGGAGGCAATTGCTCGTTACTGGAGTGGACGGGGTGCACGGTCCTTGTGGTCGTGCTAGGCTCGAAGAGTGGTTCCATGCACTCAGTGTGGAGCGGACTACGGTCCAGCCATCGCCTTGTGTGCGGTTGGTTCCCAAATACAGCGTGCTTGTGTTTGCCTCTGAAGGAGTGTGGGCCGGTTCCGTTGATGAAACGTGGCTCCCATCCACATGCCTCCCGATCTTATTCCTTCGGGTTTACACTAGATATGGAGTGTGTGGTTGGAGCTGTGGGTGGTGCAGCGCAAGCTACCCATGGTCCTGTGGCTAGCCACAGTGACAGGCAAATCCGAAACCAAATGCATCCAAATATTATATATATTTATATATACCCTTTCTGGGTCCTGCTTTCAAATTTATTTTGTCTGTTTTGTGTATGACCTGCGAAACATAATTACACTTGAAATTGCGGTTCTCTTATGTGAGCTTGAACACTGGGACCGTGTGCTCCGTGTCGTGGGTCCCGGCACTGAAACGTGCTACCGATTTCGTACTTACCTAAAGAGGGGCGCTTGGGCAGTCACAGTTGCCATTGGACATTTTAGTGTCTGGTCTAATGTGCATATTGTGCTTTGGTATGCCGTAGCATTGGAATCGTATCCGCGTCACTTAAAATGAGAAGGAAGAAGCTCCTCGTAATGCGTATGTGAGTATGTGTGAGCAACACCCAACTTTGGCAATTGTAACCGCTGCTCTGCATTTCCATTGCTTAAACCGGTCATCCATAATTGACCGGTTTTTTCGACACATCTGCGGAAGCAAATAAAAGATTTCCAATCGCATTTATTCGTTTTTAAGACAGTTTTTCTCGTATAGGCACAAATCCCAATTTCACCATCGTAATATCGCAATACACCAACGGTGTAACGTGAATCACCAAACCGCTTTGACAACGCAGCTACTTTCTGATCTGCATATCCTGCTACACCAGTAGCCGAATGTGTGTGGTCTCTGTGTGCTTCATAGGATAAGCGAACTGGTCAGGACCACCATTCTTCAGCCCTATTAATTGGCTGTTTTCTTTTTACACAAAACACAGCGTCGATTAGTCCACCATTCGCACCAACTGCTGACAAATTTTTACCAAGCAAAGCTGCATCTTTTTGCTGTAGTTATCACCCTCCCAGTTTGTTTTTCGCAGAGTGATTGGGTTTGAACTACTTTCAATATTGTCTTGATCCGTGATACTTGTCAATTTCGAGCTATTTGTCAGCCTTTGGAGCAATGCGTTGCACATCGGAACTGGTTGTCCTACTTTTCGCAACTTCCTTCCCAGTCTTCGTGCTAAAAAGCAGCAGCTTGGCTACTCCTTTTATATATTTTATGCTGGTCTCAACATGTTATCGGTCACCCTACTTTCCTTCGAATAGTTTACGCTGGCTGATTTGTGAACAACAAAGCTATCTCACTTCGTTGATTTGATATTTTGGCTACCGCACCATAACGCAACATGTTGCTTCTGCAATTCATGATCCTTGGTAACCATCCACACAGCGCTCTCCCATTTCCTTTTGTAGACCGCGTGATTTGTCGCACTCGAGCAATGCTATCCGCTCTCCAGACTATCTAAGCAACGACAAAGGGTCTACCAATTTGCTCTCACGTCTCGATGGCTTGTGCGTGAGTAACACGAGCCGATTGACGACTGATGGTGACGACACGACCACAAGAGATTTGGGGGCCAAACCAAACATGACTCGAAGACTCGGCCGATGTTTATCCATCTCCTCATCCTCGTCTTCAGCTTCCATTGGTTTGATTAATCGTTCTCCTGGACTATCACCACTGCATACCGTTGGTAAGCTTATGAATCAATCATGTTCACATCTGATAAACCACCGAACTCGACGACACTTTACTTGCCGTCCACAGACAGTTTGTTCCAAGAGTTAAGTATAGCCTATTGTCCTGCCTCCACTTGTCAAACTAGTGTTACCTCTGAATATCACCACTATTGTGGTAAACCTGACGCACAGCAACATCACTTGTATTGTTCGCAGTGGGCTACTGAGTTTAGCGAATAATCTTGCGTCATCCCTGCTTGTGTATGCTCTAAGAACTGCACTACATAACCTTCCTCCTTCCTACGCTATCTGTAACCAGTAAACCAACTTTCGATCTCATCTGGACTATTATAGTGAGAAATCAATCCTGTTCTGTTACTGGTACCGCTGGGGATGAGCACTTTTGTTTACCATGGACAGTCACAAACCATTTAGTCGAGTGTCATCTCACAGCAACGGTTGCACAAATTGCTCGCCTGAGCACGATTCTGAATTATCTGCTGCCTATACATCTGAAATAAACTTTGTGTTTCTTTATTTGGAGTATCAGACCTCATTCCAGAGATCCTTATCTAAACAACCTGCTGAGTACTGAATACCATGTTGTGGGAGCAAATAGAAATCTAATTATCTCCACCTCCATTGGAATCTGATCAACAGCGTCTTAAACAGTGTCTGTCACCTGTTAATCTTCCAATCATTCTTCATGTTCTTAGGTAACATTAAAAATATCTGACTCCCAGGGCTCACAAATATGAGACGTCACTGTCAGCGTGCAGTCGTCCTCTGAATCGAATAATGGTGCGGTTTAAATCCAGCAAGGTTGTGAAATGCTGCACAGATTTGGCTTCCACGACACGTTCTGGTTGAGACTTCCAAACATTTACCACTCTCCGTTCAAAGCAGAGGTGATGCGCTCGCATAATATCCAACACCACAAGCTTGTACCGACAAACTCCCCTGGATCAGTGACTGCAACTATTCATCTCATGTCATGGTTAACTTTCGCGCGACTAGCATCTGCGTTCACCCAGATACTATGATATTTGAACGTATGTTGAAAACCCAAGGCCTTTTACTTCTAGTAAGACGCCTTCCGACTACCCGATCTCTCTGTACCTTTTTCACTTCCATCATTAACGGTGCATTGGTCACCGTCTTAAAGGGCTACAAATTCGGGTACATCTCACTTTGTATCTACCGTTTCTTGTTTGCTATTTAAAATGACATTTTTTTCTTTTCGGTTGTTCTATCGACTAGAACTCCCGTAATACTAAGACCGCCAATTTCACTGGGTCTGTATAAGTCAGCATAATCTGACGAGTTTAAACACTAATCGAAGTTTATCTTTTATTCATTGTAAATGATAGAAATTTATTGAATTAGTAAAGGCGTATGATTCCTCCGGGGTTACTCAAAATCGCTGTGTATCATTCTTCTTTACACCCAATTGAAACCTCCCACTTGGTAAGATTGTCAGTCCTCGCCGTCTGTGCTGTTGTTCGCGGTCTCCCGGAAAATTTGTTTCCAGTTTCCCTTGTATCTTCTCCGTAACACAGTTAAGCTATGATGAGTCTTCCAGTTTCTCACACTGAGATTCTCACCTATGACCCACACCCTTCTACATGGCTGGCTTATGTCAGCTTCTTGACTTGGAGTATGCTCACCACGTTGTCCTCAACTGTGACAGCTCACAAACGTGCTAAGCTGCACTGGACAGATTAGCACTGGCTGTCAGCCGTTTCGGGCTTTGCTTTGCACACTTAGTGTGAAGCTTTCCTCCAAAATTGACAAGGACCGTCTCCTGTACCGGACCCATGGTGGGGATCAGCTAGAAGTCGTTCAGATATTTAGCTACCTAGGCAGTTGGATCAGCGCCTATGGAACCGAAGACGAAGTCACAAACCGAGGCGCTTTTGCTAACCTACGCCATTTGTGGCGGCGGCACGACTACCCTCTCTCCCTAAAGGCTAAATTTTGCAATGCAGCCGTACGTTCAACCCTGCTGTGCAGTAGGGAAACTTGGACCCTTAGATCAGCGCACCTAAAGAGGCTAGTTACGTTCGACCACCGATGTCTTCGTAGTTTGGCTCATTCCTGGCAGAAACACCGGTTGAGCAATGAGCGTGTTCGACGCCTTGTTAATGGCATAGGAAGAATAAATGAACCGCTCAGCACCGTTATTTAACGCACTAGACTCCGTTTGTTGGGCCACCTGTTCTTTATGCCAGCCCGCCGACTACCGCGACGTCCGTTGTTTGCACGTTGTTGGTGTGGATGGAAAAAGAGGAGAGATGGCCAAATGATGACTTGGTTGAGAGGAATGAAGGCCTTCGCTTCGAACTTGGTGTCAGTTGGAGCCTCTCGGCTTCTTTGTTGGGGTTCGAAAAACAAGGAACACGTTTGGCTGGATACGTTTGCTGACATGGCTAGCAGCCGACCTCCGTGGCATTTGTGTTGTGAGTTTCTTTGTCCCTCTCCCTCCAACTTAGCCTTTACCTCCAATCACGATCTCATTTATTAGGCACAATGTAACTCTTTTTCGCGGCACAATAGCCGGCTGATGACTCTCCGGAACGATGCCCATCCTTTACTGGTGGTTCAGCTGACGTGCCTCTGCTGCATGTTTTTTATCTATTGCGGCACAATAGCTGTGGCGTTTTTCACCTATAGCTAGGGTGTATAATGATGATGATGGCTTATGTGGGCGTATCTACGGGGTATCGCACGGAACCTGACGTTTGTCCACTGACTACCACTGGCAGTTTCCGTGTGTCGTCGATTGATGACACTTTTTGTGAGCGCTCCAAGACCATGTATTTGGGTCAGTACATGCAGTCGCCCACAATGCAGGTGAATTGAGTATCCACCGTTGCTTGCTACGCGGTTTTACTTTGTTCCCAACTAGTGAGACACAGCTGCCTAATGCTACACCAGTGAAAACTCGGCGGGTCACTTGTGAACTACACCACTTTTATCCCTGCCTTGTTTTTTTCTACAGGTCCCGGTTTTATTTCTTGCACTACTCCTCGTTCAGATTCTACCTCTAGAAAATCGGGCTTGACTAACCAAATGGCTTCTTTCTGGGGCTCCACATTCGCGGATTTGATTAACTGTCCATCCACCATCTGCAGCGATGTAGAATTGAACGGTGACGTTCCCATGAAGTTTGGCCTTAAGCACGACAGTAAGTATCTTACATGCGTCCTGTTTGTTTTATCATCAAATTATTTTTTTCCGGTTCCAACAGTTCACCTCATAGATAAAACATTCCTGATCCATCTGAGAACCGTAAGTTCAATTGGCTTTTGGGTGTAAGAACTGTCATTCACCCAACGTTTGAACTCCTCTATCTACACTTATAGCGACGGTCTATATTCGAAGCGGTTATCCTGTTGCTGTTGGCAATGACTTAGCGTCGCACTGTCCTTCGTTATACACTCCTAACGGTAGCAATTCAGGTTTATCTGACTCTATGCACGGTACATGATGCGCTACGCATTGCAGTGTACCACGCTGTCGAGAAGTTGTCGCAGTGAGACTAGCGCGGTACGATAGTTTGCGCACCTTAAGGATCACAAGCCTGCTTCGTAATCTGAGGGCACGGGTTCGAGCCTGCGTAATGACCGCGCGACCGTCGCAGTATCCTTAGCTCACATGCGACTAGTGGTGGTTGCGCGGCAACGAAACGTCAATACTGCCTACCGGCGTATTGCTGATGCCTTCTTCTTCCTTCGTTTGCGCAACTCATTATCCATCAAGCACATTATTAGATCCTCAAAACCAGACGATAGGTTGTTAGTGTTTTATCACAGTGTACAGATGTATCGAAGGGACAAGCCAGACAACGATCGGCATACGAACCTAACGGACCTCGATCATTTTATGCTGATTATCTACTGTTATTGTGCACTACAGTGAGTTTCTCGTCATTTGTTTAACGGAATCAAGCGAGGATTCTGGTCGGTCCAAAAAGGCTGTTTACGGAAGTGTGCAAAAATCTTTCGTGGCGTTCGGCGTGTCAAAGTTGTCATAATTTTCCTTGGTTTGCCGTTGCTGGGTAATGAAAGACCGAATTTTGCGACGGATAGTTGGAAGGACAAGCTCTGTCTCGACCTACTCCTCAAGAGGTACGGACTAGTTAGGAAACCCCCTTCTTTTCGGAGCTTGGTGGTGCGAGATAAACGTTCCCGGTTATAAACCCCTCTCGACCGGAGCAGAGAACGAGCGCCCCAGATTTATCCCTAGTGTTGGAAGTGCATGTTCGTTACCGGACTGCAACCACACGGTTTAGGCCAACTGGTCTGTTATAACGCAGTTGTTTCGACTCTTAGCATGAACGTCCTAACCTTTTTCGATGGTAGTACCCGACGCGCGGAGCAGCCATTCAAATTCGGAATGTTGCGCACTAACGTGACAGCCGGCAGACGTACGTGTGATCGGAGACTGGAGACGAAAAGCGTGTAACCTATCACGATTACACTGCGACCTAACTTAGAGGGACTGGCCGTTAGCACGAATTCTTTTACTAACTCAGCGATGCCGACCCATGCCTTTGACACCTTTATGTTTATGGCTCAGTATATTAGCAGTATAATGCATAAACCTTAGAAGAAGGTGAATGTTGGCAGGGCGCATGGGCTGTCACCCTGCGGCAGTGTCCTGAGGGAAACTCAGTTGGTGTCAGTGTGGCTTTATGCGGTAGCTGCCGCAGTGTGCTGAAAGAGCTCAGTGGGTTCACTGCGGCTTGGCATCAAGGTCCTCGGGACGGCTCGGTTGTTGCTTGCTCGGTTTCTGTCACTGCATGGTGAGCCCGGCGAAATCTACACAGGTTTCACGGAGCTATGCGAACTCATCAACATGGTCTCTGATCACTGCGATGAAATCGAATCTGCACTAATCTATAGTGGAATTTGGTGACGTGTGTATCATGTGATATCACAAACCATATGCAGTTGACCCCAGCGTTTCAAGGTTGTGTTACCATATCTGAGTTACTTTCTGCAGACCCCTGTACTCACAACAATACATGTTGTGAGTCAGATTATTGCATTCACAGCTATCACTTTAATCGCTCTCGTAAGCCTCATTCCAACTGCCCATTTCGTCAAGCCACTTGATGAGGCATGGAGTTGGGCACTTTCTAACAAAAGTTCTGCAGTCTGGGTAGGCAGTAGAAGGCCTTCGTCTTGGCCCCGTCGCCAGTCTTCTATCAACTTCTTTATCCATTTCTCTTCTCTTGCATATCTCTGGTTAACACTTAGTGAGAGAATACGCTTGACTTGGCAATCCATGTTAACTACATTACTGAATTCGGCTCTTCCTCCGACAGCACAGTAGATTAGATCAGCTAACCGTGTTTCTTCCGATTTATTTGAACTCGCCTGGTAATCATCACTACATCATTTCACACATTGGCTAGAGATGAGCAACAACTCAGCTATTGTGTAGCAATATAATTCAACCAGGTGCTAGTAAAAGGGAACGAAAATGTATCGACAATCATAAAGTTGTTCACAAATCAGTTAGTGCAAGGCCGAAAACACTACACTACACCACCAACATTTTCTTCTTTATCGCTGCACTTCATGACTAGTTTTGAACTTGTTTGTTCTCCCAGACGGAGATATTTGGTACTCGAGCCCTGAGTCTTTGATGTGTCTGCCCAATCATCAGCCACTAAGCCACTGAGTCGTGGTGGATGACGCCTATCACAACAATAAATGACTGATCGGAGGGTCATTTCGGAGTACTCGCCGTGTTAGTGGATTGCGACGCGTAATCTCAATGTGGACTGCGAATTGCATTGAAGTGAACCTCGGTCAATTCGCTCACTGGGACTGTAACCAAAGCAGGCTAATTTGGGTGCTAGTTGGTCGAAAACACTGCACCCCACGACATATTTTGACTTGTTCGTTCTCATCATGTAGAGTTAGTAAGTATTAAATGCGGGACCATTGGGATGTTAATTGGTTTTTCTGCCACTTTAGCCACGGAGTGAAGATGGGCAATGCTTGATGCAACGGTTGATGATTGATTGGAGGATCATTTTCAAGTACTCGTTATGTGAATCGATTGCGACGCGAAATCTCAATGTAGACTACCATTCGCATTGAAGCGAACTTGGTGTATTTGATTACTAAGATCCTAACTGATGAAGTAGATAGCTATTGGGTATTGCCCGCCCGAAAACACTACACTCAACGACCGTTTTCCAGCGTGTGCTCTCATCAGCTAGAGCTAACAGGACGACACTCGAGCTGAGGGCTTTGGTGAGAGCCACCAAAACTCTTTAGCCACTGAGTTATTGTGAGATTCCGTTTAGATGCGGATATTCACCGCCATACACAGAGCCACAGGAGACGACAGTTACCGCCATGACAAAGTTAGTGGTTGTGTTGTACCGCAGCTCACCTACTTGCAAGCTACTACCGTGCAAGTGGTCAGGTTAATTTCCACGATCAAAGGTCGCCAATTAATTTTTAGCCTTACCTCTTCGGCACCGGCTTATTTTCATTCACACAGATGAGCGATTGCTCTCTACGTTTAATACAGTATCAGGCGCCCTGGCAATACCATTCTTCACACTTTGTTATTGTAGTCCTTGCTAAATGCGTTGCGCCATTTAGTGGAACGCGTTTAGTTTGAAAAACATCTGCCAGCTGAGCTGAAGGATGCCATTGTGCTACCACTGTAAAAGAGCAGAGGAAGAAAGCGATGTGCCGTCATTTATCTTGGCATCGATTTGTTGAGTTTTATCGAGAGGCTAATTGCCTGGATCTTCCGCAACCACATTGTCACTCAAATTCTTGTACTAAACGTGGCCTATGAAGAGTGCGGATTCTATTCTGGCCTCGGCACGTTGTATATGTTGCTCGCGGATTGTCAGTTTCAGCCGAAATATCGTGAGCAAAATCAGCCATGGTACTCGCTGTTCATCGACTTCACGAAGCCATTTAACATGGTGAAAAGCGTGGCACTTCGGATGGTTTTGAATGGGTTTGGTAGCCTAAGTTTGTAAGTCTAATCGAATACCTACACACTGGTGTGCGAGCGTGAGTGCAGCTGAGCGCACAAACCTCGGATGACTTTGCTGTGGTCTCTGATGTGAAGCAACGCTGTCTTGGCCCCTGCTCTGTTTAATATTTACCTTCATGCAGTGATGCCTTGTGTTTTTGATGCCTGTAGTTACGCTGTGCGTCTCGAGTACCGTGTTGTTGGACATCCATCATTTTTATGCGTGAACCCGAGTGCGTGAGACAAACATTCGGATGTTGTTATTTACTGACGACTGCGCAATGTTTGCACACAGCGACGGCGAGTTGCAACCTATGATGGCGGCCTAGTTTGAACTCACAATCAGCACAAGCAAGACTGTCAGTCTTTTTCAGCCATCATTAGGAATGGATCTCCTAAGGCGGTCACAATTCACGACCTAGGTTTACTCGGAAACCCCGTACTTTTCTACTTTCAACTTCCTCTGACTTCACCTCAAGTTTCATTGTTGCATCGTACAAATGCCTAGGTTGCTTGGTAGGTCCCCTGTGTAGAGGATAGCGCCCTCTCGTTCCACCCACTTCACCCTCGTGCGGTTGATTGACCGCCCCAAAGCGTCTGGCGGACCTCGGTGCACCTGGTCGTGCATCTGTCTGGCTGTGGCCAACTGTGTCAGCGGAGTTCGTCCCGGTTTTTTTGTTCAGTCTTAACCGATGCACCTATGTGCATTCGTAGCTGTCACTCGGTGTACCATTTGGTTAAGGTTCATTGTGGGTATTTGCATGTAGAATTAATTTTTCGAATCAAAAGAAGAAACGGATGCAAACTAGTATGGGTTTGTTTCCTTTGGTTGATCACACTTTCAATTGTTCGTCAATTTTATTTTGTCCTATGTGCACCTGTTACTATTTTCCATGTGATGATATAACCCTCTGTCGATAATCTGGCGTAAAACTAAGCTTTTTGCACAAGCCACTTATTTATTGTCTATTTTGTCCCCGTCACCAATCTACCTAGGGCACATTCATACTCGTTATTTGCGCAGCAACCATGTGAATACTGAATGCCATCTTGTGACAGAAAGTGGAAATTTGACTCTGTACAACCCCACCGAAATATGACCAAAACGTTACAAAACTATCACCTGTCAACATATGGATCGTTTTTCAAGTTTTCACTTGAGATCGTGAAAAAACATGGAACGCACAGTAAACGTGTACTCATAAATGCGAGATATCATTTTCGGTGGGTAATCGTTCTCAGAATTTAACATTTGAGCAATGCACATCCAACAGTCATTTGAACTGATGCACTGGATTCGCTTCCAATTTATGTTCCGGAAAACCATTCCAGACATTCACCACTCGCCGTTCTAAGCACAGGGGATGGATGGGGAACTCGCTGCACATCTGCAACCCCAAGCTTGTACTGGTGACCGCTTGTGCTGCAAGGTATTCGCCGGTGGAGCACTAGCCTGAACTTGGGGAAGTCACTTAAATGCAGAACGTAGTAGGTCATGAAGCGGTCGACTCGCAACCGACGATATGCCGGCGTGCATAGTCCCATGCTCTTACACTTGCCTTCGTACATTGAGCCCCACATGTTGGACCCGTTTAATCTTCTGCGCCTTGCCTCGAGTTGTTGGCCACCAAGCAAGTTAGCCGTACTCTAACATTGGTCTGATGATAGAGGTGATGAGGCAAGCGGCAACATCTTCAGACCAGCTGCAGAAGCTGCGTTTGAGTGCCCAGAGCATGCGCAGGCCGTTTCAATGTAGCTTTTTTGCGTTATTCACGTACTTCACGTTGCAACCTGATAGTATGCCTAGATCTTTCACGGTCGTCCGACGCTAAGGCGCATCCGGATATTTTATATGTGAGGTAAACCTGCCTGACTGGGTATTCTACTTTATCGGTTCCTCCATACGTTTCACTCTTTTAAAGGCTCGCTAAATAAAGCGCCATAGCCTTCAGTGACCCTCCAGTTGGAGCCACAGGCAGTCTCCTGTTGGCGTGCATTCACAAGATTTTGCGAAACATGTACTGTAAGTTGCAACTCCCGTCATAGTCCCCTTATGCAGTTACTATGGCCACGCGCTGAGGTCAAACACGGGAGTTGAAGTTTCATGCACCTGACCATCGTGTAATCACTTCTATTAGTTGATTTCACCCTGTATCATACTCAGTAGGCAAAGTCAACGAATCTGCACTGTGAAATTCATTTAGTAACCCGGTTACGGTTCCATATTTCGTCCTTTTTATATCCACATATTCTCACTCAAATGTGTCGATTTTGTCCAGTTTACCTGCATAACTCGTATGTTACCTAATTCTCCTGTTTTTCGTTACAGGTTTCCTCGCACCACACAATTGATGCCGATGACGACAACCTGCACGTATGAGCGAAAATCATCTCCTTCTCTATGCGCTCTTTTTCTTACATTGACCAACTGCACTTGCCGCATTATTACCACTTTCTTTCGACTTGTAACGACCGGTGCGTCACCCCGCGTTTCGGTGTTTCCCCGTTTCCCATACACATCATGCCGCTCCTATGCGTCATGGCATGCCTGTGGTCATTTCCCAGTTGTTTTTCTCGCCTACTTAGGATTTGTTTTATGCACGACTTCCTCCCTGTGTCGTTGGCATTTTCCTTGACGTCCTTTTTTCGTCCTTCAACAACTAGTCCCTGGGATCGGAATTTTGCATTTTTATCAACTTAGTTGCCATTAAGAGGTTTCTTCGCAGTCCCTTTGGACCGCGAAATTAACCACGGATTGTTTTGTTGAATTCACATTGGCATTTTCACTGTTGCATTTCTTCGAATTGACTTTTCGTTCCCTCGGTTTTCTGAACTCCCGAAGGCTTTTCAGCAGTATACGTTTTGAATGGTGCACATTTGTTTGCTTTTTGTACAAAGTATCGACCTATCTTTTTCTGGCTAGTGTGATTACTTTTTCTTATGACTAAAGTGGTCCCCTGTTTCTCATCCTGTCTGCTGTGACCCCCGGGGTCTCATAGTAACTGCAGGTACCTTGGCTGCCGTTGGGTCATATATTTACAGGTGAATATGTGTTACCGCGTGCTTGACTTGCTGCTACGCGTAGAATACCAGACCCGACTGTGCTCGTGCGGATCCACAGGGTCAAGACTTTTCTTGTCAGCGCCGTGAATCCACACGGCAATTGAGACTGGTGGGACTTATCTTTTGATTACTAATGAGTAGACGGATTTGTTTATGATTTGTATCGCACTCAAATTCGTCTATTCATTTGGTTATACCTTATTCAACACGCAAGGCGTGCAGGCTGAAATGAAATGCGGAAAGGTTGTCCATAACTATCAATAAGTGTGAGGATTGCCTATTAGTGCCGTTCTTCCTTTCTGCTCTTCTGTGCACCTTTATGCACAATGTACCGGAGATGTTGGATTTATGCACTACGCGATCTTTGTGCGCGACGATCCAAGGTTTCTCTAGTCTCCTTACGACTGCTTGTTTTTCTACATACTACTCATTAAGAGTACACATCGTTCCTCTCCCTTCAAATTTCTCACGACCGTCGACCTCACACACAGTCTCTCCGACCTTCGGGGCTGCTCAGTGTTTATCGTGGTTTTTTGATCCTCATTATTACCACTTACCAATTCGCTAGCGTGAACTCACCGCCTATCTTCCTGTCGAGCGATGTTTCATTCTGGCCGTCATTGACCGCTTACTTCTTACGTCCCCCTCCACTTCGGCTGGAGCTTCTTCTCCCTTGCACCACATGCCGTCGCACGTTGATGATCTCTACGCCTGACTTTCGAACCGATTGGAAAATCTCCGGACTGTGTTTTTACATTAACTTGGTGGTTTTCCCCCTTTCGCTACTAAACTGTCCTCAAATTTCGGTTCCCTACCTTTCTGTTGTTCCGTGCTTCTCTGGGTGGTAACTGGCAGGATGGCCACTCATCTTCCTGTAGACCCATAGGAAGTCGAAGTCCGCGGCCCGTACAGTAGCTGGAATGCGGATCTCTTGGTGCTCCTTTGCTTGGACGCGCAGTGACATAGTAAAGTCATCACCATTACACAATGGCTGAAGTTGAAAAACAAACTTGAGCTAACTGCCACAACCCAACATATATAATGAGCGGGACACTAAACATTACATAATGGAAAAACTAGAAAGTAAGTAATATAACGCAGTGTCATATTATCTATGCAGTTTGAGGTCGTTGTTGGAAATGGAATGTAATCAGGAAGGGGAAGGATAAAGAAGATAAGAACACAAACGCTAGTGTGATTGGCTCTTCGTCGTGATGACCAGTGTATCAAACCAAACGTGTTCATCGTCCTTCCGACTCCAGCCCGGCAGTCGCGATACACCAACTGACGCCGTTTTAAGTACGGGACTACATTCTTCTTGACCAAGTCATCAATTGGTCCCTCTCTTCTTCTTCCATCCAGACCCATTCGCGCAAATAAAGCCTATCGCGGGAGTCTGTGTGCTGGAATTCACAAGACGTGGCCCAGCCATCGGAGGCTGGTGCATGATATAACGGTGCTGAGTGGTTCACTTGTTCTTCCTGCATCAAGTGCGTGACGCCAAACACCCACATTGCTTACGCAGTGTTACCACCGGACTTGAATTAAATTACGAAGACGTCGGTGGTCGAAGGTAACAGTCCTCTTTATGTCTATCGCAAACGCACAGGAGGGTTAAACGCACGGCTGCATTTTAAACCCTACCCTTCAGCTCGAGAGCGATGTCACACTGTCGCCCCAGGTGACAGAGATAAGCCTAAACAACTCTAGCAACCGCTCACCGTGATCATTACGTGATTCTACACCGTTTTCGCTGCCCAGGTACAGCTCATTAGTGGACGATTCTCCTACTTGGGTGTTCGGACCGCCAGCAAGTACCTAAGTATCTGTGCTCTTTCTGAGACGAAGTTCGTCAACTTGCTGATAGAAGTCATCTTTCACCAAGTCAGCGCTACAGTTAGTAGACGTGTGTGCAGCGGTGACAAACATAAGCCGTTTGTCTGCGCACGACTTTGTAGCTTCAAACGAACCAGCTAATCTGACGGCACACATCCGGCTATGGATGGGTACCCAATCGATGAGCGCAGCTTCATCCCATACGCTCAAATCAATGCCCACACCGGCTTGACTGATATTTGTAGCTGCGTCATTTCCGGAAAGAGGCAATGCAAAAGTGTCGCATGTGGGGGATCGCAGTTTAAGCACAGATCTCGAATCTTTTAGGCGGGTTTCCGATAAACAAAGGATGTCGGTTGATGGCATCTCTAGTTTCCTGGCAAGTGCTGCTTGTTGGTTAAACTGTAACCAAGCGAGCAAGTTGGGACATGCCATGGTTAGTGAGAGGATCTTGGGCTCCAGAAAGCAATGGATGAACTGGCGTTATCCGCTTGTTTGAACGTGGAATTATTTCCTGGACTGGAGCGACGCCCTGCGATTGCGTGTGAGTTGAAACTGGAAGGTATGCGCCTATTGTAATAAGATGGTGAGGGCCAAGAACTAGGTGGTTGAAATCAGGGGGGATGAAGTTGAAGCGGGACGGTAATGGATGTAAAAGGCGCATGAGGGTTGTACGAAATGTGGTAGGGCTGAGCTGTAGCATCCTTTTTGTTATCCACCACGCTCGAGCAGCAGATAGGTCGCCGTTGCTTATTTTTTTGCGATGGCCAGAGCATCATGATATTGTTTGATGAAAGTTACACTATATTGCATATGCAGGCTATTGTCACATTGCCCCAGCGTAGACAGGCGAACGAATAGAATTCTCGACCCAAACCTTTTTTCAGAATCTGACAGGTGGACATCGGTAATGTGGCAATGGGCTACAAAGGGTCCGTTTTATTGACTAAGATGCTATCCTCACTCCGACCGGCAACCTGGAGGGCCAGGCGAGTGAGTTTAATTGGCCTCTAACCGTCGACCAATCTCGTATGAGTGGCTGCGAATGCCACCGCCCAACTTTGCTCATTGCAAGTTTAGACACACAACTCATCTGCTTTCATCGTAACCATTGTTCCAATTTGCAATCGCTTCATTTTTCACACTCGGTTCAGAATGTGTATCAGGCCATCTGTGCTAGATGTTGTGCTTACCAGCGAGGAACGTACGACTGATGATTTGGATTTAGACTGCCCACCACAGGTCCCCGTGTCGATACCATTCGCGCGGAGACGCCGGAAGCAATAGCACGAAAACTAGCGGTATAGTTACCCCCGTTCTTCTAGTGTTGCTTAGACTAGAATCACCTTCCTTTCACATGGATGCTTTTAATAATAGATTCGATTCACGACGACAGAAACAGGACCGAAGCTTTATACTAGCGCCTAGTTTTGCTTCTTCCTGTATTGTGCAAGGTCATGGAATCCAACATTGTCGGCACGCTGGTATGCTGTCTGGAAAACTGCTACATGTTAACGCCCGAGCAGCACGGCTTCCGTCGAAACCGATCGCGCACAGCGAATTTGCCGATATCACGGCATCAGACCACGTCAGCTGACACTGGAGAGTTGGTCGATGTGATCTACTTGAATATTTCGCATACCTTCGGTTGTCTAGATCAGTGGTTTCCAACCTGATGATAATTACCCCCAAGGATGTAAAATGGCAGTTTACAGGTGGCAAATATGAGTACGAGGATTGTGTCATATATCTGCCGCCAAACAAAATTAATAGCAAGAACTAATGTTTTGTAAGGTATCCATGCCAATAGTTCACAAGCTAGATTGCACAGTGTAGTCCGGAAAAGCACCAGACGCTTTTCGCCCTATTGGGGCTCGTCAGTGGTGCGTATTCCCTCGGTCCCCTAATGGGGACCAAACCCATGACCGTTAGAGGCAGATGCCAACTAGCCAGCAGCTTAAGCCACTGAGCCATGGGGGATGTTGCCTGGGCCACATAATTTGCAAACGAACTGGGATCTGTCACCACCTATCCTCCACTGTCACTGACAGTGGCTAACCTGCGAGGTGCTGACGTCCTCTCACCAGACGCATTATCCATATCCTAGCGTCTGGTGCTTTTCCGCACTAGACTGTGTTATGTCGCTTGTGAACCATCTGGATAAATACCATAAAAAAACTTGCGACTAAAATCTTGCTACTTATGAGTAATATAAAATCCTATATATCAAAGCCTTTAACTAACTACCTAATCACTTTTGGTTGGTCATCGGTGACTAATCATTGGTATGTGTGGTCAGTGAATTTGACAAATTTGGTAATAAATTTTATTACCTAAAATACATATGCACGTGTGCAAAGTGGTGCAGCTAGATGGCACCTCTATCGGCTCGCTCGTCGATCGTTATTCTTTTGAGTCCGTCCTAGTATCCATCAACGATCTTGCTAGTGTGC